TATATATATATATATATATATATATATATAATTTTTTTGTGTGAATAATATTGAAAAGATCTGCTATATATGTTGCTCAGTTGTCCCTCTTAAGGAAATTCCACTTAGCTTAGATGGTAAAATTGAAACAGAAATCTCAGAAGTCTGTCTGGATGAATAATTGTTCATTGACGCTCGCATTAATCGTTTGTTGGATTTGTTTTTCCATTTCATTTCAACAGTCTTACTTGAAAAGACTTGACTTAGCTGCATTACACTTTGTGATGATTCTCTCTCTCTCTCTCTCTCTCTCTCTCTCTCTCTCTCTCTCCCATCTCTGATTCTTTAGAATGGATCTGTTTCCTCATGTTTGCTGTATGTTGGGTAATTGCCTATTTATATTCCATGCCTTTCATTATGTCATCCTGGTCTTTATGATAATAAGTCCGATTCAGAAATGCTGTCAAATTTTCTCATACATCTGTGGAACTCGATTCGTAACATCATCAGCCTTCACCTCTCTCTCTCTCTCTATCTTGAGATTTTTAATTTTCTATAAACTGCTCTGAACGAAAGGTGTTCCCAAATGTTTAACAGCCTATTTTGTCTTTTTTGGTATTATTACTGTAATTGCTTTGTTTCTATCTTTTTTTGTGTGTGTGACACTGTTTTAGTTCATGTTCATGCTTCTGTCTTAATCAGGACTCGTTGCAACATCTCAATAGGGCGTCCCGGGATAAATAAGGGGCGTTATTATTAGAATTATTGTTAAAATGCCTAAAACATCGATGGGGTGGACTTTTCATTTCGTCGAAATTATGTTTGTCACTTTTTGCATGTGAATGCAATCAACAAATGAAGGATTAATTGAACTTTTTTATTGTGAAAACAGAAATGATTGCGCGTACTTTGAGTAATTCTGTCTCTTTTTTGTCTCCCTTTTTCCCCTTTCTATTGACTCTCTCCCTGGCTTTTTCATCACTTTCTCCCCCGACTCCGAGTCTGCGTCCAGCTTCTGGTCTCCATCCTGTCCCCTCTTCCCCATCTCCCTCTTCATATCCACTCCACATCAACTCTAACCCCCCCAACCCCCAACCCCTCCATACCTCTCGCCATTTTTTCCCTTCCTTCCCCCCCCCCCTTCCCCCCCCCCCCCCCCCATAGGTACGCCTCCATCCACTCTTGGCAGCCACATCTCTTCCTAACTGCCCCCCTCCTCCCCCGCCTGCCTGGCTCGCCCACCACCTCTCCCTGGTTGGTTTCCACAGCTGTGGTGAGTGAGGGGCAGATGACCGGAGAATTGGCCCCTGGGAGAGCGCTGAGCCATCCTGGTGCTATTAGGCTCGTGGCTAATAATAGGTGTTTCAGACCAGGGGAAGATCAATCAGGGGGAATCATGGGGAATGTTCAGAGCAGCGCTTTTTACACATCGGCCCAGATGGATGAAATTACACTTGTCAGTTTTTAGTTGCATTACTCCCAAATTGGTTGTCTACTCTTTTTTTTCTCTCTCTCTCTCTTCCTCCCTCCTTCCCTCACTCTCCCTCTCCTCTCCTTTCTCTCCCTTTGCCCCCCATTCATGTGTCAGTGGCCTGCTAAAAGGATTCGCCGGTGAAATCCCTGTCATTTTTGTCTTTTGCCTGTTTAGCCCTCAGCCGGCAACAACTCCATCGCCTTGCATGCATGCACTTAGAAAACATCAACTCGCGTCTTAGGGGCCCGGCCAATTTCCATGTTAAAGCCAGAGTCTGCCGCTGACATTCCGTGTGCGTTCTGCATGCATAATAAAGCCATTTGACGTTGTCACTGTCAAACACTCGGAGGACAATCACAGAAAGTAGCAGACAAAGAGAAAAAAAAAATAGATTTGCGCCAATGTTAACAGTTTCTTAAACAAGGAGTTGCTTCATGTCTTGATAAATGTGGGATTCAAAGTGAGGCGATGGACTTTCATTTGAGGTGCATAAAAAAAGTTTAGAGCCAGTTGTAAGTATTGTTTATTTAGAGTCCAAAACCAGCAGTAGAATGCACATTTACACTCAAACGCTTATCGGGAAAATTATTACTGACTTTCATATATTTTGTATCGGGCCACCTAATGAAATGTTATATTGCAATTTTCCTTTCTTGTATCTCTGTTCTTTCTAATCTCTTTTTAATATGTTGTCTTCTGACTTTGCGATGGACGGCCTTGACCTGACTTATTTCTCTTGCTATTTAACAACATTTAGCAACTATCTGCAATATTTTTTTTTCCATGGTTTGTCCTTCCCCATTATAATTACCTTTAATACATTCAGAAATGTCTTTTGAGTAATATAAGAAAGTCCACAAGATATTGTTTTGTCTACATTAAGCACTGTTGTTTTTAGAATCGGTGATACCTGAGGAAAACAAATAAAAAGGTTCATGAGTGTGAAATGAAGCTCTGCAGCCATGAAGCCGTTCCAATGTTAATGTTTACAAAAAAAAAAAAAAAAAAAAACACTTAAAGGAAATTGATCTTTGAGTCAAACGCATAAATCACGTTTTAAGTGCGCAGAAATAATCCGTGTTGTAATGGTGTAATTAAAGCTGCAATTTGCAAATGAAACATTCAGACTGTATCTCACTGCTTGAAACAAAATAAAATGAACTTTTAATCACACACTGCTGTCATTCATTTTTTTTTTAAATGTTTTTATATTAATCACTTGAATTTGTCAGGGCAATTACAAAAAGGCTGAGTCCAAAATAAGCCCCTTGGCATAATAGAGGACTATACTAATGTAGGAACAGCTTCAGGTGCTTCGATGTATGCACTCTTTTAAATGTGTTGCCACAAAACTAGGATTGTGTTTTTTACCTGCAGAAGTGGAGCCATAGGTGTGGTAATCAAATGCCCACGGCGTTTTACGTAATTGGGCCTGCGAGCTCGTAGTGAGGTGAGAGGTGTCAGTGCAATGCCAGCCGCACGGCGTATCATCGAAACCTACGAGCAACCCGGTGTGTTAGATGTTATCGAGCACGGCGAGCCTGTCGAAAAGGTGACAACGAAAGGCTGAGAGGGATCATTTTGAGGCAGCCACACAACAGCTATTTGTGTCACTGGTTTCCTGTCCTAACTAGGTGCTGACAGCGTGAAATCTTTAGCATTTTGCAGAGCTTTCCTTTCAACTTGTCCACACATTTGCTGTTTTATTTTCCACGTGGCTACCAGCTAAGGCTTTGGCACCAAGACATATAAAGACATTGAACTACTTGCTTGTGTCAAGCCATGCCTCGTAATACAAAGCCAACCATGACAATCAGAGCATTGCACTGGCAAAACAAACTGTTTGAATTTAACCAATAAAACTGGCTTAAGAATCTACTTTTATCTTTTTAGTGGGGATTTTATTCAGTATTTATGTAAGTTTCACAGACGGGACGCACTTAAATAATGTTCATTCTCATTTGATTTGTCTTCTCATATTAGAAAGATCAAAACATTACAGTAGTAGTTAAGGTACCTTTCATTACCTCTGCTGCTAAGCTAGTTGAGCTGAATACTAACTTTCTAAGCTATTATGACAAGGTCCTAATCTTCGCTGGCAATGTCAAAGATTAGAAGTAAAATGGCTACCATGTTTGACCTTACCATCTGCATGAGCACCGTCTGTAGCTAAAGCTCAACACTAACTTTTTCAACCTATTTTAACGAGATTATTTGAAAAACTTTGTCCTGACAGTTACTTCTGTTGTTCAGTGACAATGATCGCTTCTGGGATAAGAAGCTCAGTTTGATATCAGGTTTACTAAGCCAGAAAAAAAAAAAAAAGCTAGATCTAAAATGTTTACATTTATTTTCACACAAGGTTAAGCTTTTCCATGACAACCACAGCTAAAACGAATCGCTCTTTGGAGGCTACTGCCTCGTCATAACGATGGTAAACTTGCTAGCAGGTTTGTCTTTAGCGTTAGCAGTGTTGTCATGAGCTAATTAGCGCCGGATACAAAACTACGTTCGTCTTCCAAATTCCTATGTGTTCATTACACACTAACAGATGAGAGTAAAGTCTGTCTGAACCAGCATGATCAGCGAAATTACAATCAAAGTGTTCCAAAATATAATTTGCTAATTTAGATTTCAAGCGATGTTGAATGTCGCATTTTAAAACCTAACGTGCTTCATTAAAAGTTCAATCATTTTAGCGGGTAACATTTGATACACTGCAAAATCCTTTTATGCAGTGCACAGCATGACAGCCACAATAGAAGATTTTAAAGAAGCTGAACTCAAAAGCTCACTAGGAAGACATTTCCACCCTTCCCCTCTGGAAATCAATGCAACCCTCCAGATGTTGGGGTCCTCTTGGTCCGCGGTGCAGCCCAGAGCAGAGATGTTCCTGAGTGTCTGATTGCACAAGGAGACGACTGGAAACAGAAAGCCTTCTTTGACTGAAAGCCCGGTGACCATGGGGGAGGGAACTGAGGCCTCTGTGTGTGTGTGTGCGTGTGTGTCAGAGAGAGAGAGAGAGAGAGAGAGAGAGAGAGAGTCTCCTTAGCAACAGGAAGAAAATTATTGACATCCTGACTTCACAGCAAAACTCGTCTCAGGGCTTCTGCTGGATATTCACATGAGGCAAGAATGAGCGAGAGAGAGAGAGAGAGAGAAAACGATGTTCAAAAGCTGACATAAAGAGAAACACTCCCTGCTTGTCTTCTATTTATATTGAAATGAGTTTTCCACTCTCCTCTGCTTGTGTGTGGTGAATACAGAGAGTCCTAATGTATGTATTTTGCTCATTTTACTGTGTCTGGCATTTCCGCGCCTCTCCTCTCTGACTCTGTGTTTGCCTCCCGCTGCGGTAAACACAACACGGCCTATGATAGCACATGCATTTCAGAGAGCTCAAAACACTGATGAGGAGCCGAAACATCCCTCCCCACCCCTCCGCCGCCGGCACCCCTCCCCCCCTCACTCCTCCACTCCTCTCCCTCTGCCTCCGTCAGTCCTCTCCCTCACTTCCAGCCAAGGTATTCAGCTTCCATGATTGCAAACATGCATAATGACAGCATCTCCCGGGGGCCAGCGGAGGTACCCCACTGATGCTGAGAGACTCTATCCTGTCGTCACATGGCAGGAAATTTGCCGGAGCCTGGAGAGCTTTGGCAAGGGAAAACCAGAAGCCAGGCTGTCTTTCTTTTTTTTTTTTAATATTATTATTATTTATTTATTTTTGTTAATAAAAATGAAGTGCAAATTATGCTCGGGCTATTGGAACAGCTCGCTGCTTCCTCCCATTACGAGGCCAGGGCGAGCGCCATGGAAGCATAAGCATGAATACATTATAAAGTAATGAGGAAACATCCAGGAGAGGGTCACGGGGGGCGTCAAGCGGCTCCGGGGGCCTTCTGAAGAGCTTTCAGCGCGCTCCGCCATGGATTAGTCATTCATGTTTGAAGAGCAAGCGAGAGGTGCAGTTCAACAATGTTAGACATAGCAACAGTTGCTAAGAGTTGCAGCGAGCGAAGCGCGTTCAGGGAGTACAGCGGTGGCTAACCAGGAAGATAGGTGAGTAGGAACAGGGCATTTGTGTGCATCGACGCCGATGACGGTGACATTTCCATCAATGCCGCGTGATGTTTTTGAAACGGGGCTCGGAAGAGCAAAGACGACAAACCAGTCAAACCAAATCAGGAACAGACAAAAAGTGGGATAGCTGGAGCTACAGTTTATCTCTCTCTGTTACAAGTTAGCCAAATCCCATTGTCCACTCCAACTTCACAAAAGAAGCGTTTGTGCTATCAGCTGTCATCATTTTCTGGAATATCAGCGGATGCCACATCAGCAGTCCTCAAGATGTTTTATAGCTAAGAAATCTGCATCTTTCTTTTTTTATATATATCTTTGCAAATGGTGAACAATAATAGTTCGCAGAGGTAATGCATCAGAATACATCAAACATTGCAATGGTGTTTTGTATTTTGTTGTTGTTGAAATACAATTTTATTTTCCCTTTCCTAGTGAAAAGAACCGACCGATTTCAAATGAC